GTCAGTGTCTCTGCCACCTGGCACGTTCCTGTTTGGTCGGGGGCAGCTGACGTGGCACAACTTTTTTTAAATTGCGTTTTGACGCCCGGTTTTCGATTTTTTCTTTCAAAAATACTTGCAAAATCTAAATTTTCACCTTTTTTCTCCAAAATTATTTTTAATTAAACTCCTAAACAATTTTTATCCATTTTTATTATTATTATTATTTGTATTAAAATAAATTAAATTTAATTTAATTTAATTTAATTTAAAATTACATAAGTAATTATATTCATACTATAATAATTAATAAAAAAAAAAGAGGTTGGGTGTTACATATGTGATCATAAGATTTGGTCTGTGCATGTCTCACCATGACAAGGACTTTCCAAGAAGATTCATAGAACCATCAGACCTGCTACAACAACATGGCTTTAGTCAATTGTGATTCCTGATTTGCTTTTTTTATTTGTTTTTTCCAAAATTCTTTAATTGAAAAACAATTAAAATTTGGTTGCTTTAGGAAAGCAACAAAGAGTTGCTTTCTCAAATAAACAAAACTTGCTTACAAGGAAAGCAGATAGAAATTACTAATAATTTTTAATTGCTTAGTAAATACATATAAATTTGAAGTACCTATAATATCTTTCAACTTCTAAAAATAAAAAGTTTCCTTAAATATAATAATATTATATTAATCATACTTCCATATATTTTTAAACTTACTGTTACCAAATACAATTATTTTGCATAACAAATCAATAAAATTTTACAAAAACAATTTATCAAACACTACGATTACTTTCTGTGAAAACAAGCTTTTAATCACAGTAACTAAAATTTAGCTTTTCAAGAAGAAGTTTTTCCCCACAGAAGTAGCAAATGAAGCTTGTTCCTGTTACTAGTGGATGTCTGTTATTAGTTTGGCTTCTTGCTTAAGCCAGATTCTGTGCATAAAGGAAGAAAGACAATGCAGTGGAACTATGGCTATACAATCTGGTGTCTGTATATCTCCTTATTTGTTATCATTTCTCTGATTCTGGTTGCTGCTTCCCTTCATGATGAGGGTTAGATGGTAAAGCCTCTCCATTAAGGTGGACTCTGTAGTTTTATGTTGTTTTGGCACAATATGACGAGCACTGTTGGTATTGACTTAGATATTCCTAGCACGAATCTGAGTTGGTTAGATGATAGAGCATCATTAAGCTTCGGTCTGGAAATAGTAGTCACATAAACTGAAGGTCTGAAAACAATAATGATATTAACCTTCAAGATCACGATAAATGAAGTGGCTTGTAAGCCATCTAGATGCTTTGATATGTTAATTAAACAATATTCTTTGAATGCTCAATTTCATGTTTCAGATTATCTACATGTAAAATTTCAAGACAAAGATTTCAGTGTATATGCTCCATTTGTAATGTGATTTGCCTTTTAATATAAATATTCATAGTGATCGCAAAATTCCAGCCAGGTTATATAGCAGTTGATATGTGCATTTTTGCCTGCCAAATTATGGATGTTTAGAGGGAATAAGCCATTTTTGCAGCTTGTACTTTTCTAATTTAACCAGAACTTACTTATTACCATTTCTCTTATTCTGGTTGCTGCTTCCCTTCATGATGAGGGTTAGATAGTAAAGCCTCTCCATTAAGGTGGACTCTGTAGTTTTATGTTGTTTTGGCACAATATGACGAGCACTGTTGGTATTGACTTAGATATTCCTAGCACGAATCTGAGTTGGTTAGATGATAGAGCATCATTAAGCTTCGGTCTGGAAATAGTAGTCACATAAACTGAAGGTCTGAAAACAATAATGATATTAACCTTCAAGATCACGATAAATGAAGTGGCTTATAAGCCATCTAGATGCTTTGATATGTTAATTAAACAATATTCTTTGAATGCTCAATTTCATGTTTCAGATTATCTACATGTAAAATTTCAAGACAAAGATTTCAGTGTATATGCTCCATTTGTAATGTGATTTGCCTTTTAATATAAATATTCATAGTGATCGCAAAATTCCAGCCAGGTTATATAGCAGTTGATATGTGCATTTTTGCCTGTCAAATTATGGATGTTTAGAGGGAATAAGCCATTTTTGCAGCTTGTACTTTTCTAATTTAACCAGAACTTACTTGTTACCATTTCTCTTATTCTGGTTGCTGCTTCCCTTCATGATGAGGGTTAGATAGTAAAGCCTCTCCATTAAAGTGGACTCTGTAGTTTTATGTTGTTTTGGCACAATATGACGAGCACTGTTGGTATTGACTTAGATATTCCTAGCACGAATCTGAGTTGGTTAGATGATAGAACATCATTAAGCTTCGGTCTGTAAATAGTAGTCACATAAACTGAAGGCCTGGAAACAATAATGATATTAAGCTTCAAGATCACGATAAATGAAGTGGCTTGTAAGCCATCTAGATGCTTTGATATGTTAATTAAACAATATTCTTTGAATGCTCAATTTCATGTTTCAGATTATCTACAAGTAAAATTTCAAGACAAAGATTTCAGTGTATATGCTCCATTTGTAATGTGATTTGCCTTTTAATATAAATATTCATAGTGATCGCAAAATTCCAGCCAGGTTATATAGCAGTTGATATGTGCATTTTTTCCTGCCAAATTATGGATGTTTAGAGGGAATAAGCCATTTTTGCAGCTTGTACTTTTCTAATTTAACCAGAACTCACTGGTTACATGATTCAGGTACGTGTCAATGGGCCATTGACAGCACCAATCTACAAGTTCCTTAAAGCAAGTAAATTTGGATTCTTAGGATCAAGGATAAAGTGGAATTTTACGAAGTTTTTAGTTGATAAAGATGGAATCGTCCTTCAACGCTACAGCACAACCACTTACCCCAGAGCTATTGAGGTTCGTCCTCTCTCTCTTTCTCTCTCTCTCTCTTTCTGATGAAAAGTGATTTTGTATGACGGATATATGTTGATAAAATGTTGCATCTGCAATTCGTTGTTAAATACTTAATACTATACTCATTTTGGGACACAGGATGATATAAAGAAAGCATTGGGAGAGATGTGATGTGTATGATCACATTGATATACTCCTATTTTTTGGGTGGGTAGAAGAAGATGGTGCTGGATTGCTGGTGTTGATTCCATAAAAAAGAGCCATTGGTTGTATTTGTTCATTCCTCTTTATCTTCTGTTTCTTCATGTAAAATATTAATTGTGTACTGAGATATCCAGACACTTCAATATTAGGATTCAAGTGTGGATAACCCCATGGGTTTATAAACCCTTTGAGGTGGGAAAGTATGTTTAATAATATATTTAGACTAATTAATTAGAATTTTAAGTTAACAAGAAAAAAAAAAAAAAAACAGTATGTAATATAAATTTACAGCCCATTTATTACAATAGTGAAAAGCAAATGTAAGAATTCTGAACTTTGTTTTGCTTGTTTGGAGAAGGTTGATAAATAGTGCTTGCTTGATAGTTTTTTGGGGTTAAATGCTTGCTTTTTTACTTTTGTTTTTAGTAAAACCTAATATATATTTACTCTTAATATTAAGCAAGAATCAAACTCCTAACGTCTATTTTTGTGGAGGTAAAAGTACTATCTGACTTAAAAGATTTGGTGTATAATGTTTGCTTCGACAGTTTAAGGTCACAATTGAATGATACCAAATATTTTTACTGAAAAATAAGATTTGTTTCCCTTGCTTTCAAAGAAAAAAAAAACAGAAAACAGAAAAATCAACCGGATATCTATATATTATTGTATTATGGTGTTGAGTCAGCCCACTGCATTAGCATTTTGGCATGCCATATCTATATATAATTTTCTAATAAATCATATTTTACTGCCTGAGGTGATTTTCTTCTTAAAATAACTATCATAAAGATACATATATATATGTTTGTGTGTGTATAATATATGTTTAAATTGACAGTAGTAGCCTTGCGTGTAAAATTGATGATTTACTTGGACAAACATGCCTACTTTGGAAACTCCATTCATTTTATGACAGGAGAAAAATCAACCCGACAGGTCTGATTTTTTCTTTTCTTGGGGGGGGGGGGGGGGTTTGCATAAATTGAATAGCTCTCTAATCTTTAAACAAGAAATCCTTGAAAAGCATCAGAATCTGGAATTGGCAACACCACATTTTTCTTATCATATTATTTAACCAACACTGTATGAAATGGACCCTCACCCTTATCTCTTCTCTCTTTCACTTTACCTTTTCCCCTTGTGATAAGGTTTTTATTTTGGAGACATCCCCACAACTCCAAAAAATAAAAAAAAAAATAAAAAAATCTACCCGCGTCTCCCACATGGACTGGGCCCGATGCCAGAATCTCACGGCTTACGAGCACACGTGTCGCTGTCTAAGCCCACGAACTCGATAGGAATGACCCAAGACTCACCCAATAGACCTAATACCAAAACGATTTGAGTCACGGGTGACACGTGTCGTTATCTAAAATGAAGAAAGCTGATAGGAGATGAGACAAGTGGAACCAAATGTGTCCGGGAAATGTTTTGGAAGATAAGGTTGGTGGTGGGGAAGGAGAAAAAGAAAGTAAATGGAGGATATGAGGGATGGATTTGGAAATGGCTTTTGACATGTCGGGTTGACCAAGACTGTATCACACGTGACACCGGCACCTTGCTAGGTATCACGACCTGGACCCTCATTTTTCATCTTACCATCTTTTTTATTCATAAAAATTGTAGGACCAAAAATAAAATTATCTTCAGGTGCGGAATTAAGTAATTTGATTAATTAATCAATCACAATTAGGATTAAGCATGTATTTGTTCATATAATCCACTAGTCGCTGTTGACCAAAATTACATAACTCGTCAATTACCCATTGGAATAATTGCACTGAGCATGTGGTGTATGATATTGGATCCACGTAAGTATTCAATTAATTAATTAATTAATTATAGTTGTAATACATTCTACCAACTATATATTCATTATGACTTTTCTATTCTTAAATTAACATAAAATGTCCGCCTTCTCTTATGATTGAATAATTAAACGATCTTATCTAATTATAATTGTTATAATTTTTTCCTAATAATTTAGAACTATTTGATTTATTTTTTTAATTATTTTGAACTTGGACCATTACATCTTAAGAGAATATTTGCATCTACTTTGGATTTGTAAGTTCAAGATTAAGTAACTTAAAAGTAGGAGAGAGAAAAAAAAAAAAAAAAAACTCAAAAAATTATAAGATAATAACATGAAAAAAAAAATTAATAACTTTATGTTTAACAATTAAAAAATTAACCAAAAAAAAAAAAAAGTCATAGTATTGAACCATTTTAGAAAAACATTAAGATTATCACAAAACTATAATTTGTATTGTAAAAACAGTATCTAATTTAATTAAAATTATCAAAATTATTATTGGAGTCAAAAAAATATTCGAGTTTGAATAGTTTTTTATTTTTACAAATTAGATATTATAAATTTAAATATACTAAAAAAAAATTATGATTTAAAGTTTTAAAAGTTTGTCCGACCTTTAAATAGTAAATAATTTTTTTTTATATAAATTAGAGGTTAAAGGTTGAAATGGGCTAAATTATAAATGTCATGATAAAATTATCAAAAATATAGAAATAAAACTATATTGAAGCGTTATATGTATTTTCAAAATCTAGTGGAGTCAATTGTTTCTACTTTATTGTATGAGGATCCACTGGTTAATTAGTATATCATGTTAAGTAATCAGTAATTAGTTATATCGAAATCTAATTTTATGATTTGAAGTAAGAGAAAATTGATTGGTGAAGATGTGGGCATAATGAACAGGGAAGACAGGGGATGACCCTCCAAACACAGAAGAAGATGACAGGTCCTAATCAAGGTGGTTTGGCAAGGGGACACCCCAGTAACCTCTGCTTTGTCTCCTTACTTCAACTACGGGACCTTCCAACCATTTCTCACTCACCACATAATCTTTTTTTTTTTTTTTTTTAATTTTTTAATGTCTTGAACTCATGATCTACTCTTCCACCTCTCATCTCATGCATATGTGTGTGTATATATATAAATACAAGGCCTAGCAACATCCAAGACACAACTCAGCTCTTAAATAAAGTTTTTGGTTTAACCAAAAAAAAAAAAATCTTACCAACTAAAATGGCAGCAAGTCCATTTTCAATGAGGACCATCAAGGTTCGATCATGGCAGCGATGTTCGAAACAGATTAGAGAGCAGCGAGCAAGGCTGTATATTATATGGAGGTGCACGGTGTTACTTCTATGTTGGCATGACTAGTGGGAAGAGTTCTTGGAGCTGGGAAGAAGATGAACTGGATTCTGGAGAGTTAAAACAAGCTCCTTGGTTGGTTTTCTTTTTTTGTTTCAAAAAAAAAATTTCTTTTTAATAGATGGATGGATTGTCAGTGTACAGTTTACAGACATGAATGAATTACAGCTTCAATCGGGTAGGAGATGAAGAAATTAGGTGAGGGTGTACAACATGTATAGATAACTTTGTATAATAGAGAGAAAGAAGCTCATCAAATGAATGATGACTTCTAATTAACAGATGAACAGCTTCTTGATTTTTCTTATTAAGATTACCGAAAATTTTCTGGTGAATAAAGGCATTTGATGAGAGAGTGTTATTATAAAGTAAAAGTTCATTCAACAAATCATGAGCACTGTCATTTCAAGTCTTTGCCTGGGAAAGGATTTTGGATTTGAAAGACTACTAGCCGGGCTGTTAGCACTTGTTTTTTTAATTTGTTTAAACTAGAAGAAATGTAAATTGTATTAGGAAATTATAAAAATTTAGTCCATACATCAGTTCTTTTTAAATTCTGTAAAATTTAAAGAATTAAAATGTCTCATCTCCAGTTAATATTGCTGGGGAATTTAATTTTTTTCATTTTATAAAATATCACTACTTGCTTGTTATTAAAATAAGGGTAAATTTCTAAATAAACTAAAACAAATTTTTTGTTTGTTACAAACATAACCTACCTTATAATCATAGAAAAGAAAATCGCATGTTTTCAGCGTCCACAGAAGACGAGACCAATAAGAAGCTAGAATTTTAGTTGAGACCCAAGAACAACAGACTGTTGTTGGAAGAGTGTGTTATTCCACTTGGAAAGTTATAGCAAGATAAAGGGTTCTATAATTTACCAGAATTAACTATATATATGTACTGTACAAAAAAAAGATCCCAAAACTGTAATTGACATGGACAACAGAAAAGCTTTCAAGATCACATACAAAATCTAAAGATTTCAATTGATATGAACCAATAATAAAATCTGAGACCTGTTTGGCGTTTACCCTTACAAAGAAATTCAACTATGTAACCTAACAAAGGAATGTCTAAGGAGTTTGTTTATTCTGCAACTTATAAAGCTCTGTTGTACAGATCTGTGTCATTGTCAAAGAAATCCCATCCATCTTCCAAAAGTTCTTTGCGGTCTGCTCTGGTTTTCTCAGTCTCAAGTTTGCCTTTTGGTGATTCACCTTTACTTGAGGATGAGCTTCTCTTCTCTGACAACTTTGGTGTCTCACACAGTTCTGGGACCAGATCCGACACTGCGCTGCTCTTAAGAGATGAGCCAGAAGAGGCTAAGATGCAACTAGTTTGGCTTGATGAAATGGATTTGCTCAATGGCACACGATTGTCAAACTTCTCTTTCAGTAATCTCACATCCTGACAAATAACAGAAATTTCTCCTCTGCAAATATAAGGAAACACAAATCATTTCCTCAATCTGCCTCAGATTAACGCCTGCATACACAGAATATCATGCATGTGGCATACAAATGCAGCAATCAGGAAAAATATGTAGGCAGAGGGATGAGGGAGAAAGAAATGAGACAGAGGATGAGATTGAGGTGGAGGGCAACATCACAACAAGTGTGCCATCAAACATTCTGAAATAACAGTCACCTTAATTTCACGATTCTTTTTGTGAATTGTCGTATCACACTATCGCAAAATCTAGTTCCCAAATTTTTTGTTTTGTTTTGGTTTTTATTTTCTTTTTCCTTTTTAGGGCTTTGCCAGCACCTGATGATGTAGAACTCCTCATCTTATGCTCCATGAAGAAGACGTTTGGCACTGAACCACAAAAGCCAGGGCAACTCCCAAGTTCAATTACCTAACGAAGTAAAGAGATCCAGTTAACCTATCTTCCATCCATCTTGTTGATGGGAAAAAGGTAGGCAAGAGGTGCTGGCAAACCCAATCCACAAAATCAAGAAATCCTCAATAATGTGACTTTTACAGACCAAAAAAACTGGCATAGTATATTTACTATTTCTTGTAGCATTTTTTAAAACAAACATACAAACAGCTAGGAAATTTGGTAATTGACCGATTACAGAGATGTTTAAGATTGCTTAAAAATGTACTTTATGCAACATAAAGTACTACTAAGAAACAAGTAATTATGTATAAGAAAACAAAAAAAAACCTTAAAATAGATTCAAAAAAAGCACCCAGAAAGAGTTACAAATAATATTTTTCTTTTTGGGGGAAGCAGAGTATTTGTTTCTGCCTAAATTACTTTTATGCACTTTCAAAGACTCCCTACTTGTTTAGTTATCAAATGGGTAAATTAGGATAAACTGCTGAAAAAAAATTCAAATAGTGCTTAAAGTTTCTTATAAGCATCAAATAAAGCCCAAATGGCTTCTATATCTTTGGCCCCCAACTGAAAGCCAAAACACTGATAACCATGGCTCAAAACAAGTCAAGAATTCCAAAATAATGACATGATAATGGAAATCTTAATTTCAACAGTTAAATAGTTATAGATATGGACCTAGTGATTGAATATGCAACAATCAATAACATTAAACTGGCCAAAGGAACAAAATAGTCACAAATGATGGAATGCAGCTTATTTGTCAAAAAGGTGGTTCCAGAGAACACACAATTTATGTTCTATAGCAGCATCGTAGAATCAACATCTATTAATGACAAGGCAAGGGTACTTACTGCAAAGAATCAACAATGCGACCACGGTCCATAAGAAACTCCCGCAACTTCAGTGAAGCAACATTAGAAGATCAGAATCAAATTATTGACACGAATTCAGATTCAAGAAACCCAAAGTGATATTTTTACACTGTTATGCTACCTTGGAATTCTCATCTGCCTGCTGCAGTAGCATCTTTGACTCTTGGACAATTTTTTCCATAATTGCTTCTTGTTCTGCAAGAAAAACTCGTCCAGATTCTTCCTTTTCCAGCTTTTCCTGCTCAGCTGCTTTCCTAGCTTCCTCAGCAAAAGCTAATCTTGCTTGCAGGGTTTCAAACATCTGCAGAAACATAATAATATAGATAACAAGTAAATACGATAACCTCAAAGTCTCTATAACTTGAAACATACTCATTTATTTACGTTTATTCTTCCTTTCCACCTTTTTGCCCACCCCAACACTTTTTTGAAACTGCTTACAGCTATTGTATCCTAGCACCACGCAACTAGTATTATATATGAAAGAACTATGATTATGCAATAACAATCAGAAGCAAACACATATCTTTTAATTGAGTTGTGAAGGATGATTACAAGAGGAGAAACTATGGATAAGAGTTGCTAGTATATGGACCAAAATGTATGAAAAATACCAAGATACCTCATTAAGAATTGCAAGAGATTTATCTCTTTCTTCTTGTAAGCTAAGCACGCGAGTTTGAAGTTCCCTCGCTTCAGTAGCTAAAATTGCCTTCTCCCCATACACTTCCCCAGCATGCTGGGAAATAAATAATATTAAAAACCATTTAATCAGACCATGTAATGAACATTATAAGACTATCAGGTTATAAAAACTAAAACAACCATGTCATTTGCTTCAGTTGCATGCATCATCATCCTTTTGAGCTCCTCAACTTTAATGAGAATATCTAAACCTCCCCTAGCAGCTTCCTCCTTGGCCTGTTCTGCAGCTTTCTCTTTAAGTTCAACTTCTCTCATCATGTTCATGACTGATTCCATTGCCGAAAACAAGGTCCTCTGCACCATCATTTAACAACACTATTATATGAAAAGGGGATGAAGAAACTTCTATTTGCTTATCCAAAAACAAGAAATGTTAAGATGTTTGCAAGGTTGAGAAAGTCAAACAATTTCCCGTTGCATATAATAATAATTCAAACTTTTTTTTTTTTTGCTCTTGGTATTTTTATCCCACATGATAAATTTGGCAGATAACCCACCAACCTATAAATTTGGCACGTTTAATTCCACATTCAGCTATTCCAGATAATGAAAACAAAGTTCCAATATTGGCCTTATAGAAGGGAGTGCATTCTATTCCCTAAACTACATCTAATTATTTTACAAATCCAAAACTCAAATCTAGGCCCAGTTACCTTGTTATTTTTAGCATCTTCAATAATCTCTTCAGAAGATCAACTCTGTATAATTGGCCGGATTGCGTAACAAAACTACTGAAGGTGGACTCATCCTCATATAGCTATCGCCCATTCA